CTGAAGAATGAGCGTATATATAAACTTGCTGATCAGAACAGTTCATCATTCAGTCTCTCAGCTCGAACATAATGGTCTCGCAACTCAAGTCGATCACGTTCTTCATTATTCTCATTATGACTGTCACCACTTGTGAGTTTTCTTTAAGCTGAACAATTTGAAGATTAAAACCAACCGAACACTACAAATCAATTTTGTTTAATATATTTATTGCAGATGTACAATCAGCACCATCGAATGGTGGTTGGGGCGGATCGTCAGCAGCTGGTTGGAGCAGCTCTCCATCGGGAAGCTTTGGTGGCGCATCCGCAAGTGGACAGGCAGCACGAAACGGGAAAGCTAACAATGAAGAAAGAATGCTTGTGAAGGGCTGGATTACCCTCAATGATCCTCAATGATTCAACCACATCTGTTTGAGAATAGCAAAAATAATCCATAAAATGATAAGACGACAATAAAAATCACTGCAAATACTCTCCCGTCCTCCTTGTGCGTTCAGTACATGCTAAACCTGTACGATTTGTTATCTCTCAACTTGAGTTGTTAAATGAAACATTCTTCAAGTAATTTATGACTGCAGTGATCCGAAAAGAACGTATTAGGCACGTGGCACTTTCGTGTTTGCAATTTCGTGAATTCCGGGCAATCTCATGATTAAGAAAGGATCTTCAAACTTGATTCCAATCGTAGGATTGAAAGACGGTCGACATTTTGCGCGAAATAATAAAAGCTAGATCTCGATCATTCTGAAGCTTGACACAGCTAATGTATGGTTCTTTTCGCTCTGGAACAGGACAGATGCAAAACGGAAATTAATAGTGCATCCGGATTCTTTCCTATCCACTGCTGGAGGAAAGCACCCGGAATTCAATGTTCTTTTTTGCTCATTTTCTCCATTTATTTCATGTACACCGTCGCGATTTAATTGATGCTACATTATAGCATCATTTAATCGATGCGATGAGCAATCATGCACAAGCGATATTACGTCTCCACAAAACTTGCATTAACACATAGTAACAATAATTAACGCAGCAGTATAGTTGTTTCGAGTGCAATGCTGTGCGATGTTCACTCTTTTCGATCTTGATTTTGCGAAATGCTGGCACGATCCGGTTTCCTCAGCACTACTCCTGGCTATCCACACCAACATTGCCAAGTCTTGTAAAGACAGTAGGTGAGGACCGAGGACGACAAGGGATATCCAATTTGAAGGCTGACCGGTCGAAACTGGATGCGGAAAGTGCTAATCAGTGATACCCATGATGCTGTTAAAGAAGCGATTATCCAAATGAATATTGATAGCACAACAAAAAAATAATTAAGTCACAGCACGATAACTCTACTGCTGGCGTGTTTATGCTGATTGATTTTTTATTGCTTCCAATTAACATCGTCGGATTTATCCTCTGATTAGTAATCAGATTACCCGACATCGTTAAAGCGTCATTCAGTCTTGAATCTGCCACGGACACGAAAGGATACGATACTCGGTTCATAATGAAAATTCGCACGTTTTCAAATGCATTTGTCAATTGCTTTTAATGAGAAATGAGGCAGGATAGAGCTCAGACTGATTTTCACCAAACTACTGACGACGCTTCCTTTGATACAATATGTATGCTTCGTATTTTCGGTTGCGTAGGCGACGAGCACAGAATGAAGCTAGTACCCTTCTTAAGCAATTCAACATGCTAATATGGTCGCAGAGATTTTCAGCCGACGCCTTTTCTCTCTAATGGATCTATCAGTTTGGTCACCACCCAAATCTTCCCCCTGGGAAACGCTTCAGTTTGGAAACATGGATGTTCATCCATCCTTCATCATCAAATTGATCTCTAATGATCGATCAATTCAATATGCGCCAGTAACGGAACAACAGTCTGGTATTGTCATATATCACAATGGTTTAAAACAGCGAACGGGCTGAATCCATTTTCATGATGCCCATCGTTCGGAATAAAACATTACGATATGATTTGCATAACAAATATAACATCTCAATGTTCATTTAGATGAATATCGTTGTTATTTTAGTAACAAAGCATGCGATGCATCATTGTATTGTTCTTGGCAGTTTGATGCTGAAAAGCAGTTCAACACAAAATCAGCAGCGGAAAATTGTGCTATATACGGTGATCACTATATACTTTCCCTGGTACAGAGTGATACTGCAAGGCTATCGAGTATAACGATCATCTATTTATAAAACCATCGGAAGAGTCTCACAATCGCAGAACCATCATTCAAATGCGCTCATCAAGTGATCTCCGAAGATCCTCTGAAAATTCCTGCAGGACAAGTACTTCAGCCAGTGCCTGGTGATCCTCCTCAGCCATATTTCGACGGATACGAATTCGCACCTGCAAAGGATCATTTGCACTGATCAGTAATGTATTGGATGAGTTGAGTTAACAGTTACATTCAACTTACTGGACTTCTTTGCACAGGATCATTTCGTGGTATGGGAGGAAAGTCGCTACAAAATGTGAGAAGTGATGAACTGAGACAAATCTCATGACAATATTATTGGTTGTCTTTAAAGATGCCAAATAATGATTGGAAAGGAAATCTCATCTAGCTAGAGTCGATCATTCCTCCCAGCTCAATACTGACTCAAATAAGACAGTGAATTGAATTTATTCATTTGGTGAACGCATCCAAATGTGTGCTACGATGCAGAAAAGTGAAGCATATTGAAGATTATATACTTTGTCAGCTGATGTCAGTAAAGTGATCGCAAAATGCCCTCCAGGGCTATTTATATATGCACTTGGAAGCGACTGTACATGAGAAACATCTCCTTGCTTCAGTTTGCTGTTGTTCAATTGGACGCAATGACAACCACATGATTGCTGATCGTTAACAGCAATTATTTGGTGATTATGCGAACGAATAATATTAAAATAACTCTGAAACTGTGAGGATGTAATTAGGTGAGCCAGCATATCAGAGAACTTTGGGATTTTTCTTCTGTCTGGAAAGAGGAATAATTTTCGAGACACACCTATAGAAAATTGTCTGAAACAGTCACTCAATCATCATGCCATTAAAAACAAAAAATTGTTAAACCGATCAAAACCTTTTAGATTTTGCTTCTTGTTGCAACTCTGAACCATTGCAGGTACTTATTAGACACTGACTAATGCGATGAAAAATACTGAAGGATTAGCGTATATATACCTGCTATCGGAACGATTCATCATCAATTCGCTCGGAACATACAGAATGGTCTCGCAACTCAAGTCGATCACGTTCTTCGTTCTCCTCATTATGACTGCTATGGCTTGTTAGTTTTCCTTACGTTGTTTTAATTTGAAAATTAAAGCGGTACGCGCACTGAAACACATTTTTATTGGATACGTTTTGCAGATGTTCAATCGGCCCCATCAAACGGCGGTTCGGGAAGCTTTGGTGGATCATCCGCGAGTGGATGGGCCAGCGTTGGTGGTGGGAATGGTGGAAATAATAATGGAATGCGCCTGCAGGGCTGGATCACTCCCGTAGACCCATGATTCATCCACATCTGCTTGCGAATAGCAAAATAATCTATAATATGATATAAGGACAATAAAGATCATTGCAAATAGTCTCCTGTCCTCCTCATGCGTTTAGTAAATGTTGCATCTGCACGATTTGTTAAATGAAACGTTCTTCGAGCAATTATGACTCCATTGATCCGAACAGAACGTCTTAGGCACGTGGCACTTTCGTACTCACTCAATCACCATACCACTGCGAGCAAAAAACTGTCCCGACAATCAAAATCCTCCAGAAATTGCTTCTTCCTGCTGCATCTCTGATCGCTTGCAGGTTTTTCTTACATACCGACTGAAATTGGCGTTCGAGCAGAAACTGCCACGCTCAAGGTGGAAAATAAACCTCTATGGTACATCGCCTAAACTTTGCTGTGTTGAAATCGTCGTGCTCTTTGGGATGGCTCATTGCCATTGTGAAGTTGACTCCGTCACCGGATACACGGGTGTTGTCATCATGAGCTGGTTAGTGTAGTTTCTCCCACAATAGCTGTGGTGGATCATCCACAAGCAGTTAGGGAGCAGAGGACGAGAAACATAGAATATCCAACAGCAGTAGTGATTATGAAGATTCAGATTGGTTTTCTCAATTCAATTATTATTATAAGTTAGCAGGTATGCGACCTTGCATTAACTCAATGTTTGTGACTGATTTTTTCAATGGGCTGATTTTGGTCAGATGCGAAGTGTGACTCCATCAATCAGAGATTAAGCGTTGGTGTCAAGAAATGGCTGCAGTACTCACTCGAGTGAAATATTTGGCTGATCATCGGGCAGTGGATGGGCAATAATAGGCGTAAACAATAGAGCACCTCACAACGGCGGCAATCATCATGAAGGTGCAAGCAAGTAAAAATCTCCCGTGTCTACACGGAGAATTAACTTCCACTGCAGTTTCTGTGAATCGTACTATGTTGAAACAGATATGTTTTAGGCAAGGATTTGTTGCACATGTGCAACATGCTGAAACATATCACCAGAGGCCATGATAGGTGTTCCGGTTGCTCATCTGTAACTGCTTACCCAACAAGACAAGTGAAACTCGGGTTGTTCAGCAATGATGGTCATTACGGTGTAGCAAAACTACTAAATCTAAAGGGCTGCATCACTTTCGATGAAAGAATTTCGTTTTCTGCTTGCTCTTCGTAGAAAACTTGACAATAAAGGCGAATACAAACGTTTTCATGCAACTTGGTCATCGGTTGCACAAATACAAAGTCATATACAAGTTTAAACCGTCAATGTTCTTATAATGAACCATACGCTGCTATCGATGTCATTATTGAAAACACTCCGGTTCTGTGGTGACTATAGATCGACTAAGCAGTCAGAAATGTTACGACGATATTCAACATTTCGGCATGACGCCATCCTCAGGAACATCTTTTGAATCACGGATTTTAGAAGCAAAGACTGAAGAAGACACGACATTACAAGCGCAGATTCTAAGAAAACTGATTGTTTGTATCGTTCTCTTGACTGACGTGAGTAACGTTCACATTCGATGGCTCAAGACCGGTTGCACCGATAACTTGATTATCTACCTCTCAAATCAATCAGTAATGGCAGCCAAAATCTTTAAAGTCGAAGAACAACCCAATAAATAGCTTTTTTTTCGTGGTTTTTTAATGATAAGTCTCCAGGACAGATATCGATA